AGGCTGGCCTCAAACTTGTGATCCCATTAACTCAACCTCCAAATGCTGAGATTACAGGCATACACCACCACACCTGGCTTTGATATTTCTTTCTTCTTTATATTTTGTCCTGCATTTATAGTTGGTAATTGCTAGAGTGTTGATCCAATAGAGGTAATCAATTATAACAAACTGAACTCTTCATATTATTTTAGAAAACCAGGCATAAGACCTTGCCAATTTCTTTTTCTTTTTTTAGTTTTTCTTCTCTTCTTTTTTTTAATTATATTATTATTTCATTTAGGGTAACCGTACCAATTTCAATTGAAACAAATGGAAAGAAACTAATGAAAGATAAACAGATTTTATAAGGATTTAAAGTAAATGCTGTCTTGGTATTTTCAATAATAATGTCTAGAAGTAGGCTTGTGAAAGGTGTTGGATAGTAGAATACCTTAGGATGTCTGGATTAAAAGTACTCACTTGTTTCTTACATTCCTGAAAACTTTTTAAAATAAATGCCAATGACAAATAAGATATAAAACCACAAAAACATGGAAATCAGAAAAGGAAAGGACATTTTAGAAGCTTAAAAGCCAAATGGATGTTATAACATACTTAGCACATGAAGAAAAGGTAAAAATAAAAGTCTGTGTAAATTGGAAGAGAATCTATAAAGACAATTCGCTTAACAGAACCCCAAAAGGTGCAGGAATCATAGATCCCATGTATTTCTGAAAGTCAAAGGCAGGAGAGCCTCAAAGTCAACATAAGAAGCAGCATTACCATACATCTCCCACCCCATATCCCACACAACCAAGTGACAACCCTCCTATTCAACTATGTGAGATGAGCAAGGTAACTCTGGAAAGGATGTACAGAGAGACACTACACTTGGGGAAATAGATGTCCTTGGAGTGGGACAGAGGTTTGAACTAAAAGAAAGAAGCGAAACTCCACATGTCAAAATATTAAGACCCACCTCCTATCATGGCCACCCATTCCTAAGTGGACTGCAGGACATCTGTTACCAAAATTTCTCTTAGTGGGGAAATGACCAGCCCAAGATTGATGCCAATGCCAGAGGGAAAATGTCTTAAAATATCTACCTCCAAAATAAAGAGAAGTAGAAATAAATGAAACAGAAACTAAAGCCAAAATTACTTTCTAAGAAAAAATTAGTAAAACTGATAAACTCATAGTAAAACTGATCGAGTATAACAGAGAAACTAAGTATAAGCAATACAAAGAATGAAAGAGGGTACAAGGATATCATTTCTTATGGCATTTGAACTTGATGTTATACCCTTCATGACATTAAAGAGATAATAAGGAACAATGTGAACAATGTTATGCCAATATATTTGATCACTGAGATGCAATACATTCTCTGAGAAGCAAAACTTATAAAAACTGACACAAGAACAAGAAAAAATTTTAATATCCCTTTCTTTAAAAGTTGAATTGGAACACATAGAAGTTTTCATTTCAAAAATGTGGCCTGAAGTTTGTAAAGCACTGTATCAATCAACTAGAACATGACGGGTTAGATTAGGCCTAAAGAACAACAAGGTGTTTCTCCCCTTTGTTGGATTTTTTTTTTATGATTGGTAGAAAGAGGGAAAATTTAAGGAAAAAAAAAAAAAAAAGCAGCAGCAAATGACAGTTCAGGAGATAAAGACAGAGTAAAAGCAAGATAATCTTAAATGTCAGTTAGAAGAGTGAATAAATTCAGCAAGGACCAGATTATTTGCACTAATGGTTTGGAGTAGGCAATCTAAGAATCTACAGCTAGGTTAGAAATGAACAAAAGGAAGGAAACACACACCTCCTACAAACTGTGATTTTATTCCTAAGTAACCAAATGAGAAGTCGAAGAAACTGTTCAAAAACCTGTTGTCAAGAAGCAAGTAATAAGGACAGTAGACAGAGCAAATAATCTAAAAAATTACTGACGTCACTGTAATAACTGTTTCATACTATACTGTGTTACATTGTAAATTAAAACATCAGTTTGGAACTGATGTTTTAATTTATAATGATGCTTCTAGGGCTGGGGACAAGATTCAATCAATAGAGCATTGCCTGGCAAGCACAAAGCCTTCAGTGCAAACACCAGTACCACTATTCTTAATAACGATGATGATGATGATGATGATGACAATGGCGTTTTAAAAAGAAAAACTGCTCTTAGAAGAAAACATTCAGATAACAAATGTTTCTCTGCCAGAAACAAGTAATACTGCTGCAGTTTATCAAAATAGAAGTGAAGCAGGAAGCTAAAGGAAACCAAGAAAAAGGAGCTTACTGTTGGCAAAAATCAGTTCTATTTTTGATTGGTTTGAATCTAGCCTAAAAAGTAGAAAACTTACTTTATCATTACTGCAGTATAAATAAGGGACAGTCTACATAAAGATAGTTGATTCTGGTTATTTGAAGTAGTTAGATTCTATTAATTCTGAATAAACAAATTGTGAATTACTATTCTTAGAAAATATAAAGTTAGATCCCTCAAGACAACACAGTGTGCCAATCAATACATAAGCTTATTTAATGTGTGTTTCCATGTAAAAACACCTTTTTTAATATATACTGTTGCTTCATGAACCAATAGTGCTGCAACCCACACTTGAATGTAGCTTATCCAACATGATAAGGTACTCTACAGCCCTCTTGTGACAACTTCAGCATTAGTTCTGGGGGCCATTTTACATAGCAATATTACCCCACAAACACAAACACACACACAACACGAAATGTCAAAAATATGACAGTGAAAGATACTCTGTGGAGTGAGATATGAAACAAGACAGAGCATCTCCTTGTTTGCCCTCAGCTAGCAATATGCCTATGGGGTGGCACAAATTTTTCACTGTCTTCAAATGGCTATAAATGTACACTATATTAATTTTGAGGTTACAAATAAATCTCCCAAGCAGGCAAAGTGGCAAATTTAAACTCCAGAAATAATGAGGGTTGAATGTATTCACAAAGGCTTATACTAGCAATCCTATGGGTAAATCTTAAAGGTTTACTCTAAATGAACCTAGAAATCAAGAAACTGGCAATATAACAATATAACAGGACTAAATACTACTTTTTAGAATCAATTTGCCAAGGTTTTTAAAATAGTAATGAAACATGAAAAATGAAGGCCCATAAAATCCACTTTTTCAGTGGCCTCAAGCAGACTTCAGTTCACTAGGATATGGCAATCAGCATTAGGAAGAAAATCAGAGTGTGCTTGCTCCTAAATCATAAATTAAATCCATTAAATCTCATTTGAAGGACGTAATCTGCTAAGATTTTAACAACAGAGGCAACCCAGTCTTTGGATTATAATCAATTTTTTCAAACTACTATTTACTCAAATGAAGTATCAGGCCACACTTCTCTCACAAAGGTCAAAGACAGTATCATGACACCAAAAACTGATTTAACACATCATAACTAACACTGATCAAATACTATCGGAAAATCCATCATCCTACAAAAAAAAAGAAAAAAAAAGCCAATCTGATCTAGGCTCTACAGAGCTCTCACACATGAGAGATTTAAATGTGCTCAAAGCTCCCCACGCTTGTAAATCACCTTTAGAGAGTAGCAGAAGTGCTACTCCATACTCAAAAAGAGAAAACAGTTTCTGTGTCAGTCAGTTTTGCATTACTATAAAGAAATACCTAAGGCAACTGACTTATAAAGAGAAAGTGTTTACTTAGCTCACAGTTCTGGAGTTTTCAGTCCAAAATCAAGTGGCCACAGGGCCTCTGGTGAGGTCAATAAATAGCAAGGGCAGGGAGTATGTTGTGCAGCAAACAGCTTACATCATCAGCCAGGAAGAAGAAACAAACTTGCAGGATCAGGGTCTCACAATTCCCACACCTCCAGTGACCTTAAGCCCTCCCCTCAAACCTCACCTCTTAAAGCTCCATATCACCTCCCAATAACACCATCTTGGGGATCAAATTCTTAACACAGGGACTTTTGGGAGATACTATCTATATTTAAACCATAGCAGTCCCAAAATATCAGCCAGAGAAATTTATCCTGATCAGCTGAACTCTAACCTGATCTAAAAATGAGGCAATTGTTAAAAAATAAAATAAAAAGTGACACTATGATACCATGCTTTTGATTAAAACTAACCTTTGAGGATAATGTTGGCCTATATTCCCCTTTTAAGATGCTATTAGTGATATTTTATATGAGAACAGAGCTATGAAGAAAAAGACAATTACGTTTAGTCACAAGTGTTCTACTTTCACAAGGATCATGCTGGAAATTATAGGTAATTTTTCCCCTCTAAACACAGACCAGTAGTAGACACATTTAACCGTGTCCCAATGACTCAAGAATGTCACTGTGGAGGCTCACTGCAAGGCTGTCACTATTTTTGTGCCTCTCGTCAATGCCAGGTTGTTGGCTACTAATAGGTCTCCTTTCATTAGCAACTCCTGTGTCTCTGCTCACTTCTTGCATTACTCCCATTTCCAATGTGGAACTTATCATTTAGTATGAGCTAGAAAAATCAGGCAACTAATATTGCTAAGAAACATACATTAAATAACAAAATTTGCTGTAAGTGAGAACTGAAGATTGGCTTTAATACAGGCTTTCTGGTTTCCTTTAGATTCTCAGAGACATTTTTTTCAACAGAATTCATTTACATGGCTCTGAGATGGAAAGCTATGCTATACAAACTGGATAATACTGAATAATTTTGCTATTCTACTTTGGCATTAAATTGCCTGGTAAATACTTGCTTTCTTTCAAAAAGAATGCAGTGTAGGCAATACCAGGGGGGAAAAAATTTCATTTCCAAAGTTCACTGTTTCCTGCACCAAAATGTAGTTATATTAGGAATACCATTCAAAGGCAGAGTACCATTGTCCAGTATAGGCACATTTTTGTTATTTAATTCTGAATCCTATTACCAAATAACATGACTACGGAATTATATGGCATTATAAATGGAAAGCCCAGGCAAAATTTTTTTGAAGTACTTAATAAATACCACCTACCTCTTATGCATATCCAACAGTCATCTTTCTTGTTGTGTTTCTTAAGTTCTTCTTCAGTTACTTCACTCAACCTGCCTTTTAATCCTGTTAGGTCCTTTCCACTTTTGGTCACTCGAATCCAATCCATAAGACTTCTGCCCTGTTTTAGAGGCACCTAAAAAAAGAAGAAAAAAAAAGGGAGAATTAAATTTGGCCTCTACAAGTTAGTTTTTTCCCCTCATCTTTCTGATACTTGTCTTCAGACTAATTCATTACTTTTATTCCCCTTTAAAAAGGTAAAACTCCTCTGGAAGTTGAGGTTAGGAGGATTGAGAGCTTAAGGCCAGCCTGGGCTACATAGCAAGACAGTCTCAAAAAAATAAAAATGGGATTGTGTGCAATGGCTCACATCTATAATCTCAGCTACTCGGGAAGCAGAGATTGGAAGGGTCACAAAAGGCCAGCCCAGCAAAAAATAGTGAACTCTGTATCAACAAATAAGCCAGACATGGCAGTATACTGCTATAATCCCAGCCACCCAGGAGGCACAGGCAAGAGGATCGAGGTTCAAGAACAACCAGGCAAAAATGCAAGCCCCTATCTGAAAAATAAAGCAAAAACGGCTGGAGGTATGGCTCAAGTAGTAGAGTACTTGCCTAGTAAGTGCAAGGCCCTGAATTCAACCCCTAAAACCCTCAAAAAATAAAAATAAAACTCAAATCTAGCAATTCTACAAATCCTCAAAGCTTTGAGATGCTGTCAAAATTGCTTTTCTTATATTAGAATTACAAATAGAACATTATTTAAAATACCTGGGATCCAAGTGGGACTTAAAAATCGTCTCACAAGTTTTCATTATAATGGTATCTTAGTATAACAAAAATAGTATTGAATCTAAGTCAGCAAACATGTTCTGTTGGAGGCTCTGTCACTTACTATGTTACAGTCACCAAAATGGATTAAAATTAACTCATCTTTTAAAAAAATCAAGAGATTTAACAGAAGATACACAAATGATTGTCTAACAACTTTTTCTGAATAATCAATATAAACACAGTATTAGGAATCATACATCTAAGAAACAAAGTTCATCAAAAAGTAGAGGCGATGAACCAATTTGGGTTGTAATATAAATACATGGAAATGTCACAATGAAACTCTCAGTAAGGCTCCCTTATACAAATAAAAATGTCTTCAAAAAAGGAGAACAGGAAGGTAAAACAGATCCCATGTAGGGGTAGGCACCAGTGGGGGTAAGGGAAGGATATAAGAAAGGGTGTAGAAGGGTGAATATGGTGTAAATACTATGTACTCATGCATGAAAATGGGACAATGAGTCCTGCTGAAACTATTCTAGGAATGGGGAAAAGGGGATAAAGGAGAATGAAGGAAGGGGTGAATTTGACTATGATATAGTGAAAGAACTTTGGTAAATGTCACCATGTACTCCCAAAACAAAAGTAATTTTAAAAAAATTAAACAAAGTTCATCAAAAAATGGAAAAAAGACGATGGCAAACTATAGCTGCCAACAATGCCAATGCTTTTACACAGCTCAGAGCTAAGAATAGTTTTCTCTTGTGGTGCTTGTTGATAGTGAAGTGATTAAAGCCTTATGAAGTCCTGAAAGGCTAAAACACCTCTTTATAAGTTCTCAGATCCCAGTGAGTGCCTGAGACTAAGGACTAGCCTCTACATATACTATGTTTTTTCTCTACATACATTTCCTTTTCCTTCTTCACAATTTCATGGAAAAAGCAACCTCAACATGATTTTTTTCTTTCCTTATTAAGAACTTTCATCTTTTCACTTAAAGCAAGAATTCCGGCTTTTCTCTAGCATATCAAAATTGCTAGCATCACTACTCTTGCACTTTGGAGCCATTACAAGTAATATGACAGTTACTTGAAAACAAACACTGTGACTGTGCTGTGAACCTGGTAACTTTGAGATGGCTATAAGTGATTGTGGGGTGAGTAGTATGTATACTGTGGATGCACTAGACAAAGGGAGGATTCAAGTACCAGGCAGGGTGGAGCATGCTACTTTAAACTGGGTCATTAAAAAATTACCAACTGTTTATTTCTAGAATTTTCCATTTAATATTTTCAGATTGCAGTTTACTGGAGGTTGTAACTGAAACCATGAACTATGAAACCAAGAATAAGAAGGACTACCTATTTACCATGAGGTCCTTTGCAGCAAACGTTTGCCAAACCCTGCCTAGATGATTTGGTAACAGGATGGTTTGGGGAGTTGTTCTGTTTTACAGAATATGTTCTCAAGGCTTCGAGGTGAGAAATTGCTATTGTCTGAATGTGTCCCCCAAAATTCACATGTTGTAATTTACTTAATCCCTAAGGCTGTGTTGGCACATGGGACCTAATGGGAGTGTTTAGGTCATAAAGGACTCTACCTTCACGAATGGATTGATACTGAAAAAGAGTTTGAGGATGCCAGTTCTGTCTCTTGTTCTCTCTCACCACGTGATGTGCTACACCTTCCACCATGTTACAACAGAGCATGAAGGCCCTTGGCAGGATGTAGACCCCTAATCTTAGACTTCCTACCCTCCAGATTTATAATAAATAAATCTCTGTTCTTTTCAATTATCCAGTCTCGGTATCCTCTTATAGCAGCACAAATGAACTAAGACAGCCTCATATAAATTTTTCAAGACACCTTTATGGACTAGGGCTACTGTCTACATTTGTCTAACTAGTTTGTAACAAACTACCAAAAGTACGTCCAAAGCAAAAGCATGCACATTCAAGAAGGTTGTACAACTCCAATTCTAATCCTCTCTATTTTAGGCATTCATTTACGCCCCCCCAGCAAAAATAAGTTAATAGCTCTGTGACCATTTCCAATTTCATATTCCATCCTACCAATGTACGTTGTCCCATTCTGACTATCAGAGAAATCTCTAGGTCTCTTGATCCAAACAAATGAGAAAATGATTCCTATCCCAAACCAAAATCCCTCATCTTTCTCTCCATTCCATAATCCTTAAGAGAGTTAAAGTAAGCTTTTAGAAATGTAAATCAAATCATGGGCCTTACCTCCTTCAGTGGATCCCAAAATTTCCTTATAATAATGTCTCCAAATTCCCTAATCATTTATCAAAGCCTTCATAATCTGGTCAATGTTTGTCCCACTAGCTCCATGTTTTAACATTTGCTACTTCCCATCATATGCTTTAGCCAAATGAGAACCGATTCCTTAATTACTGTCAAATACTTGCTCACAACTGTTGCTTCCTCTGCCTGGACCAGCTCCCTCTGGCCCCCTGATTTTCTTTGGAACTTTCTCTGACTCCTACTTCTACTTGGTGATAACACTCTACTGTAGTACTTATGACATTTTTTAACAACCTGTTTATTAGTCTGTGCAGGCTATGAGACTAAACTTGAAATCAGAGACCACGTGGCCAGCATACGGTAGGTCCTCAATAAATACTGATTTGTAAGAGTACTAGTAAAAATAGTAGCTATTACATACTAAATGCACTCTGTGTCAGATGCCAACCAGTGATATTTGAATAAAACCCCTAGGGTAAGCAACAATTAGTAAGTGCTCAACAAAGATAGGCTAAGGAAAACATTATCTCATTTAATCTTATGAATAACTCAATAAAATTGGTACTGCTATTCTCATTTACACCTTAGGAAACAAAGAGACTAAGTAGTGGATTTGGGAAAGGAATTTTGCCTTTCTTACTTCAAAGCCTATGTCTTAAACAATTTGATATATAATCTTTCTAACTAGGTTTCATTCATTTCATCCTCTACCTGTCCCATCCAATTCATCTGATTCAGGTTCTAACATGTTCAAGAATATCATTTCACAAAGAAATAAAATAATTTCTCTTTGAATTGCACAATAACCTTATTTTGTGCCATCATACCTGTGTGACTTTTTATCTTTGTCTCTAAGTTTTCTCTTTTATGTGGACATTGAGAACAGGGCTGGAAGTTTTAATGGAGAAGGGCAACAATTCTTATTCTAATTCTGGAAAGGCTACACTATTCAGTCAAGTATTTAGATTAAGGAGAGAAACAGACCCAGCATCAGAGAGGACAACATATGATTAAAAGATTGGATAACAGATACACAGACCAATCAATGAAATGTCACAAATAGAATCACATCCTAAGCCTATATGCTCTAAGCAAACATTTCTTAACCAATTTCCTTTTCTGTTAAATGGGGACAATAAAAACTCTAGTTTCATAGGATCATTGTGACAATTACAGGAAAAACACTCAAAACATATAGGGTCATTAGTAAGTACTTAGTAATCTCAGTAGTAGTATTACTACATTTGGGGATACAGACCCCTGAACAGCAAACAAAAACTACAGATCCCAAACCTATATGTTGATCTAGGATTAGAACTCCAAGCCCAAGTGGAGAAAAATAAGAAAATCAGTGAAGGTCCCAAGTGATACTAAGCCTCAAAAAGAATCCAGAAATGAAAAGAAAAAGGAGTGGCCTAAATAGGTGGAAGTCTGAAAAACAAAACATGAAGATGTGGTTACAGAACAAGGAACTACCAAAAAACAGGAACGAACAGCATTCAGGTTGCAGTTAACACAGGACAAAATTTTCATTAAATCTTGCAGATATAAAATATACTTCTGACCAGGCATGGGGGCTCACACTTATAATCCTATCTATTCGGAAGGCAAACATTGGGAAAATCATGGTTAGAGGTCAGCCAAGGCAGAAAGTTAGAGAAATCCCATCTCAACAAACCGCTGGTCTGGTGGGGTGTGCCTGTCATCTCAGCTAGAAGGGAGCATAAATAGATCACTGGTATCGGCATATTTCAAAAAAACCAAAGCAAAAAGGACTGGGGGTGTGGTTCAAGTGGTAGAGCATCTGCCTAGCAAGTGCAAAGAGCTAAGTTCAAACCCCAGTACCTCCAAGAAAAAATAAATAGAATATGTTCGTATTCCACCTGTTGCTAGCAGTAACTATGCTCAACAAATACTCCAAGTGTACAACATCAAAGTCAGCAAGTGATATAACTAGAAAAAGATAGTGTAGAAACAATAAGGAACCAGAGAAAGAAAGTCTGACTTGGAAAGAAATGTCCGTAAACCTGACGGAGTTTTGTGGACACTAGTCTTGGCTTTTCCAATCTGCCGTTGCCCCAGAAGTCCCCACCCTTGCAGGGATTTGTCTGGTCGCCACTGCTCCCCTGCTCCCCTTCTCCCCTGCGGAGGAACCCGCATCACCCACACTCCTTCGGCCAGTGAAGATCGAAGAGAAGAGGACAGGTTGAGGGAAGGAAGCTAAGACTGAGTGCCCACAACGCGGCAAACACTGCACCCGGTCCAGTCCTATAGATGTGAATTTATTCAGCAGGAAAGGACTTGGAGGAAGAGATCTGACCGCGGGACAGAGGGACGGGAAAGAGGATGGTAGGTGAGAGGAGAGTGCGAGGACTGGCGGAGGCGTAGGGTCAGAAAGCAGCGAAACGCAAGGGCAGGAGACCATGCAAGACCGGGGGACAGGCGGTGGTAGCCAAGGCAGGGGAGACTAACGCGGTCACCGCTTACCTTGCTGCGCCCCCCAGAGGTGACACGCTGCTGGGAGCTGGGGGTGGGGAACGATTGGGAAGGGACGTTTAGCATCCTGGATCCTTGGCCCGGGCCCTGCCCGGGGTCCGCCACCACACCAGCCCACCTGGCCGGACCCTCGGGCGGCTAGCGCCTGCCGCTCCAGTTCTGCGGCCTAGGAGAGGCCAAGCCCCCGACCCACTTCCGGGGTCGCGAGGGGTGACGTACGCTATGACGCAGCACGTCCTCGGGGGGCGGAGCCAACAGGATGGAGCGCGCGGCGGCGGCGGCGGCGCGGGGGGAGGTGGTGGGAGAGCGACGCGTACGCATGTTCAGTTCGTCCCCGGTCCTACACTTCAGCACTAGACCGAGGTGACAGCTATTTGGAGGAAAGGCCGGAGAAAGTGCAGCTGTTCCTCAGCTCTGGTGCTGATCGAATCCGAGAATAAATTTGTGTTAGAATAAAATTCCGTTAACCCAGCACACCAGAGTCTGTCCATTGATAAGTAGTACCATCATAGCACTTGAAATAGGGAATAAAATAGCACTATTAAGGTTCTGAGTGCACAACTTTAAGAGCTAATGAGTCAAATGCAAACAGCATGCAATGAGTGACGGTGGCTCTTTGCACAAGATAAGCACAAACTGTGCTTTATGTGGATGTTGAGAACAGGGCTGGCAGTTTTAAGGGAGAAGGGCAACAATTCTTATTCTAATTCTGGAAAGGCTACACTATTCAGTCAAGTATTTAGTTTAAGTATGTAGTTCCTCCCATCAGGGAGGAAGAACATGATTGGAAGGTTGGATAACAGATACACAGAGCAATCAATGAAATGTCACAAACAGAATCACATCCTAAGCCTACATGCTCTAAGCAAACATTTCTTAACCAATTTCCTTTTCTGTGAAATGGGGACAATTTCACAGAAATAGGATCATTGTGACAATTACAGGAAAAACACTCAAAACATATAGGGTCATTACTAAGCACTTAGTAATCTCAGTAGTAGTAGTAGTATTACATTTGGGGATACGGACCCCTGAACAGCAAATAAAAACTACAGATCCCAAACCTATATGTTGTAAGGCACTAGGCTGTACAAGAAGGAAAACTACACAACTTTAAGAGCTAAGGAGTCAAATGTAAACAGCCTCTACTGTTAGGGGTAAAAAGAAAAGTTCACCTTCACAGATGACGGACAAAGGAGGAAAAGACGTCCAAGTCTCCTGCTCTAACCACCCACTCAAGAGATTCTTTCTCCTCTTGTACCTGCCAGTTTTCTCTAAAACAAACAGGGAATTGTGCACGGATGAAGCTAACTCCCAACTGCGGTGTGAACAGCTAAATTTAAAATTCAGATTGATTTGGTTTTGATGTCATCCCTGCATTTGATGGCTGAGGTCTTATGCAAGGTACTTTAGTTTTCTACATTTGCATAATAGGCTTGGGTTTTAGTAAGAAATAAATAATTATATCTAAACTATCCAGTATATGGATGGTTAATAAGTAGCATGCTTAGAAATCAAACATATTTGTAGTATCTATTATATTAGTAGGAAAAGTGTGTGAATATATGTTGTCATCCAAGCAAGAGACATTTCTTAACTAACTCCCTCTGATCTTTGCCTCTTCCCATTATCACTCTGGAATATTATAGAAAAAAAAATTTTAGGCGGGGTCCTGGTAAGTGGCCAGGCAGTCCTCAAACTTGCAATCCTCCCATCCCAAGTAGCTTGAATTACAGAAAAATAACAATATTTTTACTTGTAATTGAACTGTTTATTGTGAGATTGTATATGAACTACAAACTTCATGACTATAGTTTACTATTCTACCTTAACCTTGAAAATTGCTCCTGTTTTCTCACTCATTAGATAATGGTGTATTCCTCTGCAAGTCTACATGAGAAAAACTAATCACTGGGACTTTATTTCACTTCCTATAAGAAAAATTTCACATAACAACATCAAAAGCAGTGAACAAGACCAAAAGGAAAATTGATAATATTGAAGAATACTGCATATCTGTCAAACATTTATGCTTCCCCTTGGACAAAAATTGAAAAATACTTTCAGATTCTGGTCTTTAGGCTCTACTTGTTTAGGCTCCATGTAAATCACTCCCATTTAAACATTTTGTTTCAATTAGAGGGATCCCTCAATATAGTATCATAAGTACTGAACACCTGTGCTGTTTCACTACAAGACTTACAGATAACAGAAAAATATTAAACTGAGAGGTTTTTTTTTTTTACTCTATATTCATTTGTTTTGTTTGTTTGGCAGTTATAGAACTTGAACTTAGAGACTCACACTTGTCCAGCAAGCACTCTACCCCTTGAGCCATGCATCCAGTCCTTACTTATTATAAGCCCTAAAATTTAAGAGCCTTAAGATTGATTTCTTCTCTCAATTATAGGTAATGACTTAAGATATTTTCACCATCTTCTCACGAATACAATGTGTGATTGGATACATAAGCCAATTTTCTTCATCATCTAATGAGGTAGCATAGTCTGTAATTACAACACCCAATTGAGACATGTAAGAAATCGCATATGTTACAAGATTCAGTCCTAAAAATTAAATAGTCACTGTTTGAAAAATCATAAGTAAATAGAAATCTGTAATTTAATGACGAGTCCAAAATTATCCTTTGTAAGCCCCAAATATTTAAATACAATGTATATGTTTGTAAGTAGTATGTATTTTAAGTTTCAACATTTAATTCTTATGCAAAGATTTTTTAAAAGGTCAAATTACCATAGTAATTACAAAATATTTCATTTTATTAATAATTTATATACAAATAAATTAGTTTAAAAAGATTATAATACATTTATACAGTAAATTTAAATCCTTCAAGCTTTGAATATCAAGTAACTAATTAGATTAATTTTCACAAGTCAGCTCTTCAATTTCATCTTCACTATCAGAATCTTCATAAAATGAAATTGTGGCTTGAATTGGAAAATTTTTCAGAAGAACTTCTGCTTCTTGATATAAATAATCGTAACACTTTGACTTTGGCCAAAATAGTCTGAAAGAAGCAGACAACATAGTGTACTTTATTTTTTCACATTCAGAATCCTTATATTCAAACAATGATCAAATTTCAAAGGGCTCTATGTATTTAACAATTGATATATGCATCTAGATAAAGTCTTAAATACTCATCAAATTTTCACGAAGTCTGTTTATCAAAGAATCAATAAATGGTTGATCATTTTAAATCTTTATCCAAAGTATAAATTACATTACATAAATCCATACTATAACCTGTATAAGCATAAGACCAATGTCTAGCTTACTTCAAGCATCAGGTATATATTTATACTTATAACACACAGAAGATTTGCCTTCCAGTTTCCAAATTCTGTTGGGGGGAAAATGAATTCTACTACCATATTAAAAATTTGAATGATAGCTATCTTTGTAAAGATGACAAAATATTATGCACCCTAAACAAAGGCAGTACTCACTTACTATCTTGCTTAAAACTCACAGATTTAATTCTTAGTTAAAAATGTAGTCATTGTATGTTCATAAAAGTACCAAGAACAGTGTTTTCAAACTTGAGACATAGAAAGTCTACTTGTAAAACCGGTCTTGATCCCATCTTCTTCCTCTCTCCCCATTCAACCAAATTTGAGGATACCATATTGAGATACTGAAAAATGATGTAAGTTTTATACAACTAATTTGCATGTAAGCATGATTATCTCATAATTTTAAAAATCCAATAAATAAGGATCTTGCCATCTGGCCTTCTATTGTTTTTCACCCAAAGAAAAAAAGGAGTGCAGTCATTTTAGTGTTGCCTATATCCAGTAATTCAAAGAAGGGTGTAACTGCTGCTCTATGACCAGCTTAGTTACAAGGCTGGGCACAGAGCACAGGCTTCCATGCTGTGACAGCACTTTGTGAATGATGTGTCTTTCATCTACTACAAGCCCTGTGTGACCATGTAACTGAGTGATTTGAACAAAGAAAAGGTTTCCTATGTTTAGTATGCTCTATTTTATTTTTAAATAGTGCTATTTCTTTATTCTTTACCACATGCATCTTCTCAGTACACTTGATTTTAAAAGGCAGAAAACTAGACAGTGTAGTTAAAAGTTTATAATTTCGATGTTTAAGTAAGTGACTCAATTGTTTATTCAAAACATATTATAGTGGACCCTTTTGCCAATATGATTCACAATTCCAAGATGAGTAAATCATGGCCCTTGCCCTCAAAAAAGTTGACAACTGAGTTAAAAGAATGAAAAACATAGTATTAATACAGGTAGAATTGAATAAAAATAAAAGAAGCACAATTAAATTATGACAGTAGTTCAGCTAGGCATGGTGGCACTTCCCTGTAATTCTAGCACTCAGAAGCTAAAGCAAGAGTGTCACAAGTGGGAAGCCAGCCTGGGCTACATAGTGAAACCTTCTTTCTCTTTTAAAAAAAATTTTTAAAAGTAACCATAGTTCAGAAAAGAAAGGAATTGTTTATAAAGCTAACAGCTTATTTTCTAATATGTAACTAGAATTGCCAAATGCAAGGAATTCTGTTTAGTTGTTATCATCACACTCTGCCCACAATTTCTCACTGTGAACCATTTGTCTTCCACGGACTTCATACTTTCCTGAATTCCTTTAGTTCTAATTCTTTTGTCTCCTTTGTGGATCTCTCTTTCTTTATATACTGGTTAGATGCTGGCCTTCTCCCAAGGTTTTACTGAGAAAATTATCTCTCCTCTCTACACTCTCTAGAATAACCTGACCCACTCTCATGATTACCCCTACCCTTTATTTCCCATAAACTCCCAAGCTTGTACTTAAAATTTTTAACTTTGGGCCCCCAACATATAAGAAACTCTCTACCTGATCTTTGCATTCGAATACCCCATAGACACATTAAATGTGACAAGTGGAAAATCAGACTAAATCTCTTAATACAGTGCTTGCCTGATCACCAGCCACAAACTTGGGAGGAATTCTAGCTGTTTACTTCTTCACTTGCCGTATTCAGTGCATTACAAAGCCTAATGTCACCTAAGTATTTCTGAAATTCACCCAGGCCCACC